CTATTTTCCTAATAAAAGGGAGGAGGCTGTGAAGACTGTCCAAGCAACAGTAGTTGCCAAAGAGAAAATAAGAACTAGGCTTACATGTTATAATTTTTATGTGGAAACATCTGTTACTGTACAAGGTATTTTAAAGGTATGTTTGTCACATTGTTTAATAGTAAAGAATGAATGGATACTCCAGGCACTGAATCCACTACTGAGAAGGGTATGTTTTTCAAAAGAATGACTAGATCAATAGAGCTTCTTTGGAATTATGCAATTTTAGTAACTCCTGTTCCATAGAAATGGCAGGGTCTACCCGTGTTGCTAAGAAGTGTGAAGTGCAAAGAGCCAGAAAGTCTTTTCAAAGAAGTGCAGTTTAGTGTTGTACAAGTCCACTGTAAGACTGATAACTGAGAAAGTACAAGTGGGACACAGGACCACGTTTTAAACTTTTATTTAGATTATGAATTCCAAACTTTCCAAACATTTACTGTGTGGGGCAAGGTCTGACCTTTCTGTTCTCATCCCTTACCGTTTTCTTCCCGTGGCCTCTATCAAGGGGATTTGCACAGAGCCAGGTAGGCAAAACTTGTAAAGGGCCTGTAGCACTTTAAACGTTTTCAGGGTTTACCCACGTAGAACAGCCATGCTGGGTGCGCTGCTTGTGCCAGGGCATTTCTCTGACTGTGACCGTGGCAGAGGATCGTGCAGTGGTGCAGTGAGAGGTCTTAAAATGAAGGGTTCTCTTTGGAAACAAGCCCTACTTGGTTTGGTTTGCGGCTGCCCATCTTCGATATGACATTTCTTGTTAAGCCTTGTGACACTCCTCGCTGATGGCGCTGCAGCTCCCACAGGTACAGAGAAAGTCAAGAACAAGAAATGTGAGGTTGAGGCATAAAGGGAACGAGAAAGAAGCCAGAGACCTACTGAAAACCTTTCATTTTTTTTTTCTGTTTGAAGTATGAAAAACAAATCTTATTTATCACTCTGGTGATAAATACAATTTTAACTTCAACCCTATGTGCTCAACTTTTCTTTAGTTTTAACATGTCTTGGTATAATATAAAGAGAATTTTTAGCTTGAGTTGCCACTCAGTTGTGAAATCAAGTAAATGATTACTTGAGTGTGTTTAAACCTTTCAAAAAGCAAACATTAAAAATTGTTTTTTTAAGACATTTACAAAATGCAATCAGGCAGATATCTGAATCTGAAAGTTGGCCAGGGTATAGCAAAGTTACAAGCACAGAAGATGCTCTGGAATAGGATATAAAACTAGAAAAGTAAATTAGAGCCCATTTTGTAGAAAAGTTTTGAGGGCCATGCTGAGGGATCTGACTATATTTTGCTGTAATAAATGAATACAGTAAGTTTTGTTGTAATGCTTGTTTTAAAAGACTGGTTTATTCCAACAGGATTGATATATTAGATACAATTTGAGCATGATGCAATTCCTTTGTATAATTTTCTCAGTGAAGAACACTAGGTCAAGCGGCAACAAAGTATGGTCCTGTTCATTGCCTCAAGCTAGAACAGTTGTTATTTATAACATACATATATGTGTATATATGTGCTTAGTAGTTATACAAATATCTACGTAGGAGCTTCCATGCTGCCTCACCAAAGCCTCATGTATCTACTGTGGCCCTTCAAGAAGTTTGCTGAACCCTGCACTAGATGAATGTGGTAAACTCCATCCAGCTGCAGGGAGCTGTGGGAGAATGAACCGAATTCACACCGCCCAGACTCAGATCCCTAGACAACCCTCCTGCCACACCTAGTGATGCCCAGTTCCACAAGCGGTCTTCTGATCCTTTTCAAAATAAAGTGTCAAATTAATTATAGTATTTGCATATTTCTTAACTATTTAGTGTGTGCAAAACTGGTTATTATTTTTATTAGGTTCCTATCTTTTTTTTTTTTAGCATGGTACCCGAACCTTCTATTTCCATAGCTCTATGGTTTTTATTGTGTGCTTTTGCATAGCACACTGGTTTTCAGGAATGCAGGCACGCTGTATTATAACAGAACTGACTATATTTGGAAGGATCACTGAGACTCTAAGAGTCAAAGTTATGAAAGAGTGAGAAAAGCCTAGGCAAGAGATATGGGGCTACACTGAGCTCATGCAGCATTTAAAGGGACAGTTTTAATGTGAAAAGTTGATGTCTTTCAAGATAGAAGTAGTAGTAGATGACTTTGATGGTAGTGCCAGTACTAAAAAAAAGAACAAAGGAGGACAAAATGGCTTCTGCTACCTACAGTTGAGAAAGTCGCTCTCACTGTACTGGAGGCTCCCTCGGGGCAGGCAGCGAGTCTTTTAGTGACTTAACCTAGTTCTTAGGCACAGAGTGCATTCTTGTTGCATGAAATAGTGCTGTTCAAAAGTGATTCTGTTGGGCCGAGCCCATGGCGCAATCAGGAGAGTGTGGTGCTGGGAGCGCAGCGGAGCTCCCACTGTGGGTTCGGATCCTATATAGGGATGGCTGGTTTGCTCGCAGTGCTCACTGGCTGAGCTCAGTGCGGCCGGTCTCAAGAAGGGCAAAAAAAAAAAAAAAAAAAAAAAAAG